AGATCTTGAATTTGGTCATTCGATGTTTCCAGGATAGGATCTTTTTAATAGAAGAATAATCTTTATCGACGGTCCTTTTACCTTGAATATATTTTTATCGTTATTACTATTTTCAATTAGAACATTTTTACAATTTACGTCCATATAAATTAGCTTTAGTCAAAGCTAATTTATAGCTCAGGTCCAATAGTTTTAACTCAAAATCTAGAAATGGCAAATTCCGAGAAAATTTTCGTTGCCTCTGGAAAAAATGTGAGGTGAGTGAAAATGATCTCACTCCATTCGTGTCATGAGAGATATAAAATAGTCCTACTTGATCCGCCTAAGAAAATACCGATGTCGAAAGCACATTTAGTTGTCATATGCGAAATGGAAATATTTGCGAAGAGAAAAATTTTTTCATTGAATATTACTGTCACAAAAAAGTTTGCAGGGAATTATTAGCATATTCTGGTCACGCGAGTTTTGCATACTCGGGGTCAGTGCTATTAACATAATCTAGTTAATTGAGAGACATCGTGATAAAAAGCACTTGTAATGTAGAATGAGATATACCTCTCCATGAAAGCAATTGTTGCTTCATTTGTCGGTTTGTTGTTTGAGATGCATCAGTCTCATGAATATAATCAGTTACGTCGCTTGTTGCAATTTACGCAAACAAGGAGGATTATGCTAATTGTCGTGTAATCGTGACGCAGGATACGTTAATGAAAATATATTTCTTGATAATGGCATTTTATTACTCAGAAAATGTACAGGTAATCGTGCAGCATTACAAATATTTTTATATATATATATATATAAGAGGTATAGAAAGAATGATATATTTGGATGAAATTATAGTATCATCAATATTAATGGCAACAAAATAAGAATTAACGACATAAATATTTCATATATATTCTAAAAAATAATATTTAATATAAAAAAAGTAATCGAGGAAGGGACTAATGGGAACAATTTATGCATGACGCTTTATTTCCCTTTAACGTTTATATTTCGAATTGACTTCAGGTAAAAATTTTTATAATTATTTAAAATCACATATCGTGAGAACGTTGAAACGCGGCGCATAAAATTTCATCTTAAAACATAATCGATTTAATTAGATGAAACCACTTTCTATCAATGTTGGTAGTGATTTGCGTCGCAATCTGTCTATGCACGTGTATCGAATTGCATGTGCATTTGCAAATTGTATACATACCCCAGTGTGTGTACGAACAGACGATAACTATGCGGTGCAGCTCACGGGCAGGATATTAGTTAACATATTAGTGAAACATACATTACGTATACAATATATATTACATATCACACCGTGTCCTAGATTTACGGCAACTACTACTATTGACGGAATCTGGATCGATTTCGAATGTGTACATAATCTTTTCTTCAATAACGACTGATAAACGGTGCTATTATAACGGTGACATTAACATATATCGTTTAATACAATTGTTTAATTAATAATTTGATATTTTCTACTTTAAAACGCATAAAAGCAAAATTATTCTTTTTATCATAGCTTTATTACAAATATTTTTATCGCAAAGTATTATCATTTTCGTTTGTGGTAATTTTTTCTTTTTGACATGTAAACCTTTATATTCTAATAGATAATTGTATCGTATTAATAGATACGCGAATTTTAGTCGTGGATACAGATATTTGGTAATAATATTTGGTATATAATAGACAATTATGAAATCATTAAGTATTAACCAACCGCCACTACCACTAATGACCATTATTATTGGACATATTATAATTACTGCTACCTGACAGAAAGTTCAGCTAGCATTATGGAAATTATTTTTGGCAGTTTTATCGAATCACGTGCAAATTTATAACGTCATATGATAACGCCGCACACGCATTCATCGATTCAATTACGCGCGTGTGTCATGGAGACACCACCCCTCGGTGTTGTCCCTCTCTACACCGGTGATTTGTGTGTCCCCCCCGTCTGCGTGCGTGTCTCGGGAAACGCGTGTGCATTTGCAAATTGTATATACACCTCCGCGCGTGTGTGCACGTGCACACACGGGGCGACCTCCCCGTATTTGTGTTTGAGCCTACCTAGAGACATGTAAACGCACGCAGGCGCTCGCTGCGCCTCTGGCCGGCACCGTCGCGGATATAGGGTGGCTAATGGAGAAATTCAGCCCACAACGGAAACTGTGATATACTCTCGTTTCTGCTCACTCCCATCGCTCCCCGGTCGCCTTCTCTATTTAAAGTCTATTTGACGTGGATCGCATCGGCGCGAGAGCGCATCAGTCTCTCGCCTGGGGTTCGTCTCCTCTAACCGGCCAGGGGCCAATTTGAAACTTTGAAACGGCTGCGCCACGGGTGAAGGATCGAATCTTGCCGATGATAACCGCCCCCGCTTGGATCGCACGGGTTCGCCTTACGGATTGCGCTCATTCCACGTTCAAGTTTCGTGGTGCGTCGGGATTCGAGGCATCGGGAATAAAGGCAAGTTTGCGGGATTCGCCGTTTGATCGTATCGGATGAAGAGCGAAGTCTTTGCGGTGACTCCTTTCCCTCCTTTCCTCGTGATGTTTCGCATAAAATTGTAGAAACATGAAAAATATTTTTACCCACAAATATCTTACTGAGTACACACGTTATGAAAGAAACGTTTAAAAGTGTATCATTTTCAAAAGAATTCGAAAATCAGCGTAACCATTTTCACAATATCGTGATGTTAGAAAATGTCAGAAAATATTTCCGATTGATTTCAAACG